GGATAATAATTACAAAGTTAGTTGTGGTTAAAGTTATATAGAACGCACGATTAGGCAGGTTCGTCTACGGGTTCGAGAACATTTACCAGTTTGGTTCAGCAAGGGGGAAATGAAGTGCATAAAGAACTCGATCCTGTCACACTTGGTCGATACTGGACATCGTATTGACGTCAACACAGCTTTAAGGGTTATATACCGAATTCTGAAGTCGTTATCACGTACAGTCCGCTTACGTCTCCTACACAGAGCTGAAGCTGTTGCCATGAGATCGACTAAACCGGAACTTTGTATCCGAAAGGAACACGTTCAGACACTGTTCCTACCGTGGCCAAACCTGGATTGATGATTCTTCTTCTCACCATGAATGCTTTTTCCCCTTAACTCTCTTGGTTTTTGTTTCTTTGTTTATTATTACAGTTATTATTATCCGTCATAATTTATACCCTTCATGCAAAAATTCTCAATACTATCGAATTTTCTATTTATACTATCCGGACTTATTATTAGTGATATTATCTTTTTCCTCAGTATATGCCCCCACCTGTTTCATTTCACAAATTCGTTATTTCATGACGAACCTCTCATTGCAGTCTTACTATCTCCTCTTCTTTAATACAGACCACTTTGTACTAGTCACTCACTCACCTGACTCCTTTTATAACTTTGAACTGACTTGTCAATTTTCCTACCCCACATTCTACGAATTTGTTATGACTGATCACCACCATTATCTCCCATTTTACAATATTTTGTAATCGATTTCAGCCTAGCACATTTGACACCCCATAACTAATCTGTTATTCTACGTTAAAAATGTATCCGCCGCATTATTGGCCATTATTGTACCGACAGTAAATATTATATTTTATAATTGTAAGAACCTGAAGAGGAGAAATTATTGAAAAGAATATCCTTCATTCATATTGACTTTCAGTTGAAACATCCAAATAAGTATTGATACTATAATTAGTTCATTCAATAGAGATTTTCTAAACACGTTTTCCGTTACATTTAGCATTGCAGAATTTGATACTGCAGTATTTAAAAGGTATTTATAAAGCTCAACAGTCTGTTGCAGCGTGTTTAGCGTTGTCAGTAGAATATTCTTTAGGCTTCAGCTCTTAACCTTAAGATGATTCAAGGATTCAAACAGAATAATATAAAACTCTAGCGGCCAAATATGTAGGCTAAAGTAAATGTTAAGGTTTGGTATATTCGGTATATTGATAATGGAATACTGTGCAGCCGCACAGGACGTCTGGTTTCCATTCCTGGCCTATGCCTCGCCTAGTTGGCAGTAAATCCACAAAAGAGGGTAGGTTATGAGGGAGGCTAGCAGCGCCTGTCCACTTTATAAAAAAAATCCATCGACAGTTAAATTTCAAAGCTTGAATACTTATATTCCCCATGGAATGTAACTAATAAAAGTTAAGCTGTTTATTATTGTGACAAATATGGAAAAAATAGCGTCAAATGTTTGATTATTAACTTTGATACAGCTCTGTTGATCAATGCAAAGCACTTATTTTGTAACAACAGAAGACAAGGGCCAGGCAACAGATCGTTTATTAAGGAAAATCAAAACATATTTATGGATTTTAATGTACATTATTGTAGATTATTGTTAGTAGAAAATAGTCTTTTGATTGGTTTTCAAGTATTGGTTTGGTAGGGATTTTGTTTAATTGCATGGAGGATTTCATCATGAGCTGACATCAGTTAGAGAACCTCTGGAAAACCTGGGAGTACTGGACAGCTGTTTCGTCCTAGTTTGGGACTCTTCATCAGTACGCACCCACCGGGATTCGAACCCAGGACATTCTGGTTACAAGTCGAGCTCATAGACCATTGAGCCACTGGGACCAGATCCAATGGTCCTTGAATTCTAACTTCTGCCAATTCACGACATAGCGCGACCATTTCGCAATGTCTTCTTAGATGAGTTACTGCCTTGGTTGTTTCTCACAGAAAGTTAACCTTGCATCTCTTTGTGGCTGTGTCAGATCATCCATATGCTAACTGTATCCGCCTACGCAAAGCCTTTGTTCTCATTTTCTCACCATCAATATTGGGGACATAAACATTGACGTCAATTACTGTCTACCAACTTTGGCTAGCAGCCAGCTCTCACTACAATTTTATACTCATATTGTCACTTTAACTGGTGAGGCTAAGCTTTTTTGACTAGAAATTTCCCTTCAAAAGTGATGTTTTTAATATACATCAGGCAGAGTAAAACCCTACTGAAACGTGCTTTTCTGTGCTGGATGTTTTGAAAAACCAACAATATTTCCGAAACATAAAGACTAATGAATCAATTTGCACAATATGTGGTTACAAATCTGCCTGTAAAAGATATAGAAACCGAAAAAACAATAATGATGAGACAAGGGAGATTAAGTTTACGCTTGTGCGATCACATTGAGGGTGTTGCTACCAAAATGTCATCATCAGTATCTAAAGCTCTCATGCTGTAGGAATCAATCTTCTGAATAATCACAGCAAGACTCAGTAATACAATACAACACCCTCTGTCGATGACCGGTGAGAAAGGTTAAGCAACAAAACATGCTGGCAATGCAGTGAACAAATCAGGAACCTATCGTTCAGCAAATCTTCGGAAAGAGATTGCGACAGAATGGATATATTTTGAGTGGTCGGTAGCGATAAGTTGGACGTGAGTCCGAGATTGACATGAAGGTGATCAGGCAGATTCGAAATTAAAGCTTTTGCGCAATCATGAAACCGGCTGAAAACACCACACGGAACGCAATACAATAGATGTGTGCTAGTACAGCCATCTATTCAACTCACGACTGAGAGGAAGAATAACAATTGGCAGTCAGTATTTGTTCCCTCACTTTCGACCATGAAATTAATGATGTATTAATCTTGAATCACAGTTTGCAGTTTAACTCATTGATCATCTTTGAGTTTGAGCGAACTCTGTAACTTTCTGTTCGAATGCATCAGCTGTGTGACTTAGAATTAATGCTCTAAGTTATTTCTATCAGGATAATTTGGTTTTAACTTACAGGAATGACGGTAATGATGAAACGTCGGTCTGTGTATTTGTCATACAAGTTTACTTTAGGAAGGGAAAACAACTCAAATGATTTATATGAATGTATAACTGGTATTCCAGTTAGATATGTAATTTCCATAAATTATAGCAATGTATTACATTCAAAAGGGACATGAAGTAAAAGGTAAATTACCCAAAGCAGGACATTACGAACAAGAGGAATTGCTAATCACCTATGCACTAAAAACTTCACTCATTGTTTCACTGAGTGTTATCAAAATATATATAGCTGGCGCTTACTATTGTTTTCTTTGCTTCTGAGTGGTACATAGGGCTTCAACAACATCCCCATTTTGCCTTGTTGTCTGCAGTCTTCTTCAGCCGGCCATAAGATTACCAATACGGTTTCGTCTCCTCCACACACACAGTCTCAGTCATTTTGCCCTCAGATACATGCCCGACGTATCGTTTTTCATTCGGATCCCTCTGGAGCGACGGTCTGATGTACGATTTCACCGAACGTGTGTCTGACCCATCTCCATTTTCTTCGGGAAATTTCGTTGAGCAACGCATTCTTGATTGCTTTATCTATAGGGCTGTCTATTACTAATTCTTTCTGGCTTGCCATCTGATCTTCACTTTGCATCGAATGAAGATGTTCAAAAAGATTCTGAATTCAGTTAGAAATGCTTTACTTGACGCTCCAGGTTTGCGTCCCATATAAAAAGCTGATACAACAGTGGTGTCGAAAGTTTGACGTCTTATTCCTAATGCTGGGTGCACCAGATTTCTAAATTGTTTATCGTGTGATGAATGTTTGTCGTGCCTCTTCGATCTTGGTTTTGACATCCACATCTGTGTTGACTGTAGCGTGAGGTTACCTTCATAATATTTTCAAGGCTTCAAACCTATGTGATACATTAAAATGTTTGTAATCTGTGAATTCCACAGTTCAGAAGGAGCAAACTGGTCATCCGGTGTTTAGATTGCTTTGATCTCGCTCGTATTCGCTACTGTCTGACTTAGCTAACATGCGACTACTCAACTGAGTCCGTAGTATATATGGTAAGTGTAATGCACCTAATAAAAAGTGTTTGTATATGTGAGACATTAAGGGAATATAACACAACTTCACTAAACTTTTCTTATTTATTTTTCATAATTCATACTAACGTGAAGATATTGTCACTGAATTAGTTAGATGTGCATGAAAGCTTCTCGCTGCGAAACATCACTGTACGTCCTGACGGATAACTGCTACCTTGAAGTGGAAGTCGACCATATATATCTCAACCACCCAATAAACTACGCTGGTTGAAATGGACAATTAGTTCTGTAGGTTCTTTGTGTTAGAAAGGTCGCGTTTGCATTGAAAGCAGTTGCTACTATGGTGTTTGCAGTATGTTGACGTTCATAGGTTAAAGGTTCCAAATAAGGCTGAGACACCAAGGTGCGCTGCTTCTCCACTCTGAAATTCTTCGAAACAGTTGATCTCAAGAAGCGGACATCCAGATTCATTCCACGGTGGTGTGGTGGTAAGTTCTTGATATGGAGACAGTTCTAAAAATTACCTCAGACAAATCTTCTGTGTGACCGGCAGTTTCCCTCTCGGTGCTGTGATTACGAATCAGGTAATTCTAGAAGAAATCAACTCCAATCATGTTGGGACCCGAGGAGTAAGGACCACTTTGAAATGGTCAGTAAATTGAATTGGAAGACTTATTACATAGTTTTGTAAGATTACATGACTTTCAGTTATACAACAATCAAATCCAATTTTTAATTGACCGGTTAATAGTCTTCACATTCATATTTGGCTTATTAATTTAAACTTCAATTTATAGGCATCACTGATGATGAAAACAGCAGGTGTTTTTAATTACTACTTTTTAGACTAATTCTGTCTCTTTTCTCTCCTCCGCTTTTCTCCACGGCCGCCCCGCTCCACCCCCCCCCCCACCGCTGGCCACCTCAGCTTCTGGCAGTTTTATGTGTACTGTACCAACGGCGAAAAAGTGCTATGAATTATGTCAACAACATGGATGCAGTGATTGGCCATTTCATATACCAGTTTCACCGGCTGATAGAATAACTCGCAATAATTATCGTTGTCGATGTTTTCAAGAATATAAAACATGTTTGTATAATCCATTGTCAAGAAGACAGATTATTTCTGATTGAGATATAAAAAATACACAACAAAAATAGATCTATAATACACTCAAATATCATACATATACACACTTACAAATACGTTCTTAATCGAACAGTTAATTAATCAACTGAGATTTTTCACAGTAGTCAGTGTTAATTGAACAAAGGCAACAAGTGATATCATGTGCAATTCCGATTTTAGAAAAAAAATCATCTTTAATGAAAACATTAACTGACAAATATTTAATGCAATAGTATGTAATCATTCAATTCATCTGAGCATTTATCCATCTTTAATTGATTCGTAGATTTACTTAATTGAATAAATAAATAAATAAATATTTCTGATTGACTGGACTTGTTTACGTTTCACTGTTTTCTTCCCCTTATCTACTGGGGTATAGCATTATGATATTGGACTGATACTAAATATTACTATTACTATAATAATATTATTATTTTATATGCGTCCAAACCAAGTTCACTTTTAACGGTTTGAAAAAATTTAGGGATTGGGTGTATGATATTCATTATAATAAAGAACTTTTTGTATTTCCCAATGAATGAAAAACAAAACGATATTGTTTTTGCTGACGTTTCCCTATTTAATGCTAATAGCTTTATCAAAGTATTATTAAACCGGAATTTACAAAATCTCAGCATATATATAACAAACAGTTAGGGGGTGAGAAAATAGACTTAGGTCAAGTTAAAGGGACATATTGAAAGTTAAAATATCAATGAAGATCACTAAACTAAATAACAAAGGTAATAGTACATCTGTTATGGTATCAAAACAAAGTTTACTAACTTGATCATCGTTCGTCAGTCGGGGGGCATTTTTCGTTGTCAAGTTGGTCAATTGGTAAAGATAACAAAATCAAGGAATGATGGACTAAAACAGAATCTAACCTGGTTACAACACCTCCCTCCCCCACCAAGTGACAAAATCAACACGAATGTGATAAGCAATATCATTATATAAATACACGCTGCTTTTATAATTTTACACACTTATCAAATCCAACAATTTACACTTGATTTTGTTATCTTTACCGATTGACCAACTTGACAACGAAAAATGCCCCCAGACAGACGAACGATGATCAAGTTAGTAAACTTTGTTTTGATACCATAACAGATTTACGATTACCTTTGTTATTTGGTTTAGTGATATTCATGGGTATTTTTACTTTCAATGTGTCCCTTTAACTTGACCTAAGTCTATTTTCTCACGTCTTAACTCTTTGTTACATGTATGCTGAGATTTTGTAAATTCCGGTTTAATAATACTTTGATAAAGCTATTAGCATTAAATAGGGAAACGTCAGCAAAAACAATATCGCTTTGTTTTTCATTCATTGGGAAATACAAAAACCTTTATTATAATGAATATTATTATTTCCTTGGATTCCACGTGGAACACAGGTCTTCAGCAGTTATCCCTTCTTTTTCCCCTTCAGCTGGCCTTACAGTTGCCTATCAGCTTTCGTCTCCTTAAACGGTTTCCTCTATGTCACCTTTGGACGCCCAACTTGCTGTTTTCCTTTCGGGCTCCTCTCGAGTATGTGGTGGGCAAATGACGTCATCCAGCAGTCCTCTAAGTGTATGTCCTATGCATCTCCGACTTCTTCGGGAGATCTATTGAGCAATTTATTATTATTATTATTGTATCCTTTAATTCCTTCAGGAACATAGGGCTTCAGCCGTGTGTCTCCATTGCGTTCTGTTCTCTGCTAGAGTCTTCACCTGGCTCCAAGTTTGCCCACACGTTTTCATCTCCTCTTCACATGACCTCCTCCAAGTCACCCTTGGACGACCAACTCGCCGCTTCCCTTTCGGGTTCCACTCGAGTAATGGCTTGTCTAGTGATATCACTCACTTGATGGTTTCCTAAGAGTATGTCCAATCTATCTCAACTTCTATTGAGCAATTGGTTATTTTATTTTAATTTGAATTTGATTTTGATTACAGCTTGATTCCACACCGTATTTTCAGTACAAGTATGGAATTTTCAGCATGGATATCGGTAGCCCAAATTTACAGGCCGACCATAGATATCGGTTGTGCACCGGCAGATGATCGAACCCCGGACCATGTGCATGGTCGATGAGAGTCCTAACCACTGTGCCACCGACGCACAAATGCTTGTCACCGCCTCGAGGGTGGAGACGAGGTGAGTTGGAGTATCTGGGCATCGATCCCAGTACCTCTCGCATGCTAAGCGAGAGCTCTACCATTTGAGCTAGTAGTTGGAAGGCGTTGGCACCAAGCAGTCGTGTTTGCTAGTCAGGTTGAAGTGGTGGTTGTTTCCTTCATTCAGCGCGGTAATATTTAGACTGCTTGACACTGAAAATGGTAATCTATCTGGCTAGCAAGCACTACTGTTTAATGTTCTGAGGGGGAATGGCGATTGCTCACTATGAATTGTGCAATTAAAAAACAGAGAATTTGATTCGATATTCAGTCAAGTCACTAGCATGTTCGATGAGACAGTTATTTGGGATCTGATATGTATTTGAGAGTTTCAAGTAGCATTTATGACTCAGTGATTTTTTATTGATGCTTACCAAGCTACTGGTGTCATTTATGAGTACGACATTGGGAAATCAAAACAAATTAACTAATATATATATATATATATATATATACTAAATGCTATTGAAACGTCATCTACGATAGCAAGAGCATTCCCCAATATACTAAACGTCTTTTTAACAGAAAAGGTACTAGTAATATTTGGTTAGAATTATTATTATTCCCTCGGGTTCCAAGTGGAACATGCGTCTTCAACAACACATCTCCACTTTCTTGTATATTTTGCTGTCCTTTTCAACTGGGTGCATGATTCACCATAATCTCACATCTCCTCCGCCCAAAATGATCTCCTCCATGTCACCCTCGCACCGATGACCCGCACATCCGATTCCACACGAACGATGGCCTGCATTGCGCAGGATGTCATCCGACGATCTCCTCAGTGTATGGCAGATCCATCTCCATTTTCTCTTACATATTTGTTAAGTAATCGGCTCTCTCCTGTTGGTTAATCTCCAGCCAGCCATAGTTTCTTCTTGCTAATCCTTACTGTCCACCTATCTGATTTTCAGTATGGAGCCATCCAGCGATGATGGTAGCCGTTGATAAAAGTCTGCAACAGCATAATAGAAATCCTTTTCTTGACGCACCCATAACGTGGAACTGACTGACTGACTTCACATTTGTGTTAGAAATCCGAGTCTTACTCATCATTCTGGCTGGCTGAGTGTAGTGCAGAAGATTTCCAAAATTTTTTCAGATAGATGAGGGTGTGTCTTGCTTTTTGATTCTGAATGGTTGACTGGCTTTGAAATCTTCATCCGTTCCGGCTGCCTGTGGTGGAAACCGTACTTCCTGCTGGGATAAGAGAAGGAGGTAACCTTTGTCAAATCTCTTCCGTTGATAGTGACTGGTGCTGGTTGTAGTTGTTGCTGTTCGTTGGTTATCTTCATCACCTCCGTCTTCTCTATGTTCACCTGCAGTGCTGTTTCTTCAGCGAGTTTGTTGGTTTTCACCTGCAAGTCTTCAAGTTTGTGTGACATTTAACATAAATCACCTGCAAAACCCACATCGTGTACAGTCTTCTTGTCGGTCCAACATATTCCCGTTTTCTCACTCCCCTTGCACAGTCTCACGCATAATCCAGTCTACCACAATTAAGAATGTCATCGGTGGTAGTAGGTAGACAGCTTTGTCTTACTCCTGTATTCACTTTCAACGCCTCACTGAGATTTTCGGTGTGGATCACCTGACACCTGGCCTCATAGTCATATAGCGATCTGTTAAATGAGTTTGATACAGACTTGGGTGCTGCACGCAGTAGTGTTAAAGTAGTTTTCAAATTGCCTCTCTGTCAGCGTTGTCTGTTGAAGGCCTTTTCGAATTCGACGAAACTGAGGTGGAGAGAGGTTTGATTGCCATTCTATGCTTTGTTCAATAGCGAAGATGCCTAGAGTTGCAATTTGATCAGCACATGATTTGCCTTTCCTGAATTCAGCTAATTCTGAGGGTGAGGGGGGGCGGAGTTCTGTATCCAGTGTATCTTTTATTCTTCCCACAACGACGTGACCTAATATTTTACTTGGCCTGGACAAGAGCATCATTCGACGCCAGTCAGTTCGTGTACAGGTGTAACTCGCCCTTCTTTGGCACCTTGACAAGGTATCCAGTCATTCTTCCAATTGGTAGATACCTTTCCTTCCTTCTAAACCTTTTGCAATAATGGCATGAGAACACCTGTCACAGTCGCTGGGTCCGTTTCCAGTACTTCGAGGGGAATTCCTCCTGTTCTTGCTGCATACTCGGCCGGCGTTCAGTAGCTTGATCTCACTAAAGATTTTCGCTTTTGTTGGTGGATTGGTGTCCACCGGCTGTTTTCTGCGTGCTGATGGTGATTGCACGTGAAGATGGACGATTCGCAAGTCCTTTAAAATGATCAGCCCACTGATTTATTTGTCTCTTGTCATTCGTAATCAGGTTCCCTTGAAAATCTCTTATTGGTTTCATCATCCGGGTTGATCTCTTCCCGGATAGCGAGCAGCCTGATTATCTCATATAATGTCCTGAGGCTTCTTACATGCGGTCTGCCTATTTTGCTTCAGTTGCCAGCCAGCGTGTCGTAGAATTATCTCTTATCTTTTCTAGCACTCTTTTTCACTTCTTTATTCATTGCAGTGTTCACTGAATTCAGCTTCTCCTTCTGTCGCCTATCATTGCATTGAGTCATCTCTTTCACTATCCTCCTCTCTTTTATTAGCCTAACTTGATTTGAGGTATAACTCCAGTTGTTCTGAAAGGTTTCAGCTTCACCTTGAAGGTTTATAGAACTAGACGATAGTTTGAGCCCACATCTGCTCTGCTTCTTGACTTTGTATCTAGTAAGCTAAATGTGTCTCCACTTGCTTGAGCAGCATTGAGATAAAATCTATCTGGTTTGTGGTGTGTCCGTCAGGCGACATCTTTGTCACGGACCCTGTGTATATCCTTCTGCTTGTACACGCTGCCTCCAATCAACAAATCATTGAAAGCGCAGAAGTCTGCGAACAACTATCCGTCCTCATTCACTTCAACCGGAACCTCTCTACCCTTGATGAATTATCTTCCTGTATTATCTGTTCTCAGTTCGGCTTCCATTCATATCACCCATGAGGATTTTGATGTCTCCACTCTGGATGCCACCCATTACTGTTTGTAGTTGTCTGTAAAAATATCTCTTCTTCTGTCGTTCCATGTTGCTTGCAGCACTGTGAGTAGCATAGGATAATTGTTAACTTCCTTCCTTCCTT